GCTAAAAGACTACTCTTTTTCACAACCCTTTCTGTGCCAAGAAGGTAAGACGGCCAAGAGGGGCACGGAAATCGAGGCACTCTAAATTTGAGATAGCAGGTCAAAGCGAAAGATCAGCCTCCAAAAGCTGACACGGTGCGATCAGCAAGCCGTTCTTCTGAGAAGGAAAGCATGAGGATAGCTGCCTTGGGAAACAAAACTGCTTAAAGATAACTTTTCATGGAGTAAGACCAATGCATTTTAGATGTTTTGTGGAAAGATTTTTATGTGCATTTATACTGTACATATGGCAGATGTCAATATAATCACTTGGTCGTAGCTATATTAAGGTAAGGTAATATCCTATCTTGCTTCAGAATCCCCTGCAGCAAACAGCTACTACTTTGTTGGGAAGTGATTTTCATTAAACCATTCATCTTTACTGCTTTTTTCAAAAAATCCACCAGACTGCAGCATTCTTCATAAACTCCTAAACCACTCAAGTTTCCCCAAGACTGAAGTATCTCCTTCTTAGAGCAGTTTGTTGATGGTCGTTAGACAACAACAGAACATCTGAGTTAGTCAGTGGTGAAATGTTACCTCTGCTCTTTTAATGCGCATTTCCATCCTGCTCAGTCTCGGTCTTTATGGCACATTGACCCCCCTGTGCTTGGGTTGCCGCAGATCACGTGCACCAGGACTCAGCAGGGCGTCATTCGGAGGGTGGGCCTACCTGCCCACCCACCCACTCACCCACCCTCAGAACGTTCAGTAGCCCCCCTTAGGAATATTCCATCTTTTTCAGGGCAGGCACCATCATCACCCTTCACTTCCACCACGTGGACACAGACACGTGCAGCTCGCCTCCCGAAGCTCCCAGAGGAAGCAGATACTTTTTTTTTTTTAACCACATTATTTATATGAAATGTTTATGTAATTTGTTCTGCGCTCTTCACATACTGTGGCATCCTTGGCACTCTCTGAGCTGGTTGTTTGCGTGCAGACATTTCATTACCTGACTAGGTACCCTCATCAGTCCTTGTGAGTGTGGGGTCTGCACCCTGTTTATCTACAGTAGCTCTTCTATTAGTACTTTAGAAACAACAAAGCAACTAGAGATTATTGCACTCACTGAAGTACGCTAAAGGGAAATGAATGTCCGATGGTGTAATACCTCTTATCATTTTTCTGAATATTTCCTTTTTTAGCATGATAATGGCTATAATCAGTCTGTTGGGGCTGTGATCAACAATCACCAGTAGTTAGCTTTATTTTAATTTTCTGCCTTGTTCTCAGAGGAAGGTGACCACTGGTTCTTCACTTTTAGCCCAGGGAATCTATTCAACAGATCGTACCGTTCAAGAAATTAACTAAGACAAACGTAGTTTCTTTTATTTCATCGGTGTCAAGGAAGCCTAACTGGGAATGCTAAAACTATACCTTTAAAAAAGCGTAAGAACGCCTAAACCATATTCTCCATGTTGTCTGGAAAGACTCTGCCCTAAAGCAAAGAGAAACTGACAGCTTTATTTCTGATCTCTTGTTCGCCTCTTTTGTGAAAACCAAAGCAGCCTAATAAACTAACAAAAAATGCTTCCTATTTAATCCCAGAACTTCTCACATTCCACAACATTTGTGTTGCACCGTACAGTATAAATATCCCTTTTCCCCGGTTGCTTTATCTTAGAATGACAAACAATACTGAAAACATTTTAGTAGCAAAGTGAACATATACTGTGTTATTAATCAACATTTCAGATACAAAGTTACAAACGAAGTTTTAGCCATAAAATTGATTTATCTATGTGAACAGGCTGAAGCTTTAGACTGTCACACAACTACTAATTCCAGCCACATCATGTAAGGTTGAAAAGGTACCTCAAGTACAGTGTTTCCCAGCCAGCTGCCCTGCAGATGCCCTGAACTGCAGTTCCATCATCCTCAGCCATTGGCACAGGAAGGCCGAGAACTCGCGCTCCAGGCAGAGGCCGGCTCACGTCAACGGGCTGCCCGTTTCCACGCCCAGCCCTTCTCAGGGGTGGCGTTTCCGAGCCCCACATCCTCCGCTTCGCCCTCTACCCCAACAGGCCCTCCACTTTAGGTTGGACTGCGCAGCTCGCAGATAGCATTTAGCTCCCTTGAACGCTGTGTCAGCAGACCTACTGCTAAATAAACGTAGATTTCTTAAATGCAGATTTAGTAACTACCTAAATAAATTGCATTCCTTTAAAGATTTCCCTCAAGGGAAGGGCAAGTGGGATTCCAGGTTTGTTCCCCCAGCCTCCTACCGACTACACCAGCTTCACTATTGGGAGTCCCGTGAAGGGGAAGAGGACCGAGCGGACCCTCTGAGAAATCAGAAGTCCTTGTGCGCTGCTTGGGAACCGAGTCTTACAGCCTCAACCGTTTTGGGTGCACGGAGTTGGGTTGTGCCTGGGACCCAGAACCATGCAGGGCTTCTGCGGGTGAAATCTCTAATCCTAGATGGAAGAGAGCTGGGGTTTGTTTGGGGGCTTTCCGCAAGCCAGTTCCAAGCCAAATTGTTCTTTTCCCTAATTAACCCACATTGATGTTTAATTGGGCAGATAACGTGATGGAATGGTGTTATGAAGGCCATGCTCAGGGAGATAAGCGTTTCCTTAGCCCTCAACAGGAGCGTGGGAAGTTTAAGATGAGACTGGCACCACCCTAAGGAATTCACGGTGTTGTGGCTGGCTGGCTTGGGCATTTAGGTTCAGTCTGGAGAGATTTCTGTCTTGAGGTTGAAGCTAATAAATGCAGCTGAACTGTATGTGCACTGTCTCGTGGAGTTCTTTGGGCTGAACCTGAAAGATAAATTATCGCAGAAATCTTTCTTGTAATCCATGGAAACTAAACATTTTTTTTAAATGGGCATCCCCCCTCCCCCAATTTCAGCTGCCTTTTGATATTCCGTAAATAGCAGCAACAAAGATTTCTCCCTTTCCCATCCCATGGGAAAAGCCCACTTGGTGGAGGAAGAGAATGCTTCTACTAAACCCATTTATTGGGTTAAGAGCTCGTCAGACTAGGTTTGCAGGATCAATCCCTTACCTGAGAGCTGCTCTGCAAATTCCACCTCAGTTGCAAAAGCTAGCAACTATTTGGGCTGAAAGGGGGCTTCCTCTACAGGCACCGTCCCTGGACTGCCCTGGATTATTGAGTTACTAATCAAATAAAGGTGGAGGAATCTGAAATGGCTAATGGCAGGTGGCTAATCTGTCTTTCGAGGGGTGGAGTCATGCCAGGATCCTTATGACCTACCTACTATTCTGGAGTCTTGAAAATGGAAAAGGTTGCGTAATTGGCACTGCCCGCTGCCAGCAAAAAGGATTCTGCCATCCTCATTATGGAACAAGACAGCATTGATCTCAGACCACATTACCTTTATTACTTTGCTACATTTCCTTTATTCTGCTTTTTAAAAAAAACACAACTTAAAAACAGGTAAACATGAACCTCCAGAGTATATAATGCATCACATACACTACAAAAATTAATACATACAGAAAACACTACTTGATGAAAAGCCATCAAATATCGTACTAACACCTAAAGTATTTGTTTTCCATCATCCCACAGATCTGCGGTCTCCAACCAACCAACCAAGAGCTATTTCTTTGTTAAAGCCAAACACTTAGTGGAAAATAGATATTTTAAAAAGGAGATATTTGAGAGAAGTACCTTGATGTAGTACCAGTTTCAGTCACCCAAATAAAGTTCTGATGTCAATTGAACATAAATTCTGTTTCTATTTTGTTTGCAAGACAGAATCTATTTCTTGCTAATATAAACCCATCCAATTTTTTACTACTGGCTGTGGAAATTATTCAGAAGAACATTGGGATTTTAGATAAATATACAACACCTTTTAGCTTTTAAGAACTTAATTTAGATGGTGGCTTTTACGAATACAGGGGAAAACATTAAAAATCGGGGAGGGGGCTTCTGATCCTTTCAGATGGCTTTGAGCAGCTCTTCCATCCCATCCTATTCATAGCAAAACAGCTACAAATATATTCTATTTAAGGAGATTCCAAAATAGCGACTCTCAGAGATTCACGCTGCCCAATAAACCAGAGGATTTTTTAGATAACGGATCAGAAGACGAAGCCGTGCAGATGTTCCATTTTCCAGGTGAGCTCAACTGCAAAATCTGGGGCTCCTGACCACATCTGCAGGAGACTTTTGGAGGGCAGGACCACCTCCTTCTCACGGGCTACCTGCCCCCCCCAGCTGGTGGTGGATCAGGAACCATCCTGCGCACAAGCCGCCTGGTCTAAGACGCACCAGGGGGCCCATCCTGCCACAGCAGGCAGGAATGGTGGCGGCGGCAGCAAGGGAGAGGTGGGGAGAAGCGTCGGTGGCTTTCCAGGACCTCCAGTGCCCAGCTGCCCAGGCAAAAGGGGGGTCAGGGCCAAGGAAGCAGCGCCCACTTCCAAGCGGGTGGGGCCCAGAGCCCCACCTCCACGTCTTCTGGCGCCGGGGAAGAGTGGCAGCTGACCAGACCCCAGGCACAGCCACCTCCTCTTCCAGGTGACACAGAGGGAGGCTTAAAAAAAAAGGAAATCGAGAACCTTTCAGCACCCTTGTCTGTTGACTGGCCCAGCAGACTTTTACAGGCTGAAGGCAAGGGGCCAGCTGGGAGAAAGGCAAGTGTTAAATACGCCTTTGTGGAAGAAGGTTATACTGAAGTTTGGGAGCTGAGAGCCCTGGAGCCCTTCGAATGTCTCCTGTGCTAAAGGATGCCGCTGACTTGCATTTTTGCTAAAAAAAACAAAATGTGAGAAACCACAAATGTTGTGGAGAGGCTGACTCTTCCTTCAACCTACTGAGCCAGGCTGTTTGAGGGGATAAAGAAAGCACCGTCTCTCTGAGAATATACTGAACATCGGCTGGATACGCCTGGGCTTGCAAGTGGGGGTGGGGGTCCACCCTTTCCACGCAGGTACCAAAAAGGCTTTGGAGCTAAGGGAGTCTCCACGAGCGGGGAACGGCGGGAGGTTGTGTGCGAGCCCCGAGGAGCCGTTCCGGCATGCAAGAGGCAGTGGTGTCAGAGGCTTTCCTCAGGGGTGCAGCGCTGCAGAGAGGCGGATCAGGGCCTGGAAGGGGGCTCCCTTACTTGGCTTGTCCCCGCGGGGTCCTGCCTTGCTTGGGGGCTGCTCCCGTTCAGCCCCTGAGGAGAGCTGCCAAGGGCGTCCACTTCATCCAGGCCGGCCAGCCGGGCCCCCCGGCCTTCCTCCATTTGGCGCCGAGCTCTGGCAACTAAGGAGTCGGGCTTCACTGGCGAATCGATGCCTGGCACATTTTAAAGACAACACAAAAGTGTCACCACCCTGGACTGAGCTGAGCTGCAACGCTGACCCCACGGGTGAGACCTTCACCCCCCAGGAACGACCAAGGAATGGCCCAGGGGCCACAGAAATGACTTTACTTGAGCAAGAAAAAGGCACCTCCTAATATTTTGAATACAGATAATTTACTGTCCGCCAAGTGGCAACTTTTAGAAAATGGAAAGCTTTATCCAGTGCAATCCACAGCCGGCTGAAGCCTGGCTGCTCATGCTCAATTTTGGAACAGATTCTTAGTGCTACACTGGGGAGAGGGAATGGACACAAAGGATGTTGCCCCTCGTGAACTTCCTTTCCTTTCACTCAGCCTCCAAGTGCCTCTCCTCAGCCCCTTATGGCAGCTGCCTCTTTTCCCCAACCCCCTCCCTGGAGACCACGTGGCCCTCCACAACAAGGCCTTCAGCAGTCGACCTACTCGCAATACAGCTCAGATATTAGTCTGCTTGATTCAGCAAAATGCTGGCAATGAGAGACCCTCTCCTTCTACTCAGTGGCAGGCATCCACAAACCGTGACCGGACTTTGGAGCCGACAATTGCGTCCTGCTAGTCAGCTGGAAAATCCCGTCCCCAAGAACACTGCCCACGACTGGCCAGATTGTTCCTTCTTCCCCTGAAGGGGCAGGTTATATATTATACAAGTGGCAGACATGTTGTATTTCTTGATAAGACCTCAGTCCCACCCTTGGCTGCTCTTTAACCAGGGACCTCGGATTTCAGCTCTTCGTTGGTGCGCACCTCAGAATAGCTGGTACAATCTGGGCTTGTTTCAAAGAGACAATCTAGACTTGCCTATAGCTGGTTTGAGGTAGCCAGTAGTTTCCCATGTGGGTAAACAAAGGAACAAAAAGTTTACTGCCATGGGGGACTTAATGCTTATTTTAAAAAACAGGCCTTCCTTCCCAGGAGTCCTGTGCATTGCAGTAAGTCCCCGGGGCCCAGGAGGCTTTCTTTCAAGTCAGCCTATAAATCTTACTCTGGAAGCAGCCAAGAGGACAGAAAATCTCTCTGCAGCATGGGGGATGGGTAAGATCACGTAACCCCACAATGCTGGCACGCTGGGCCAAGGGAAGATGAGGGTATGAACTGACTTTTGTGTTTAACCTTCTTAAGCTGCCAGAGAGAGTCTCTGGGGCATAGAAGCTGTGGCAATAAATAAAGAGGTTAAAAGGTACTTCCTGTGCCCCTGGACAGGCTACGGGTCCCCCCACAGCCCAAGCCCTGCCAAGTGGCCAGAGAGTTTGCCAGGGTGATTCCTGGCTTCCAGCACGTGCCTGTCCCGCCTGTCCCCCATGGACATCCCTTGGCCCTGTCTCAGCCCAGCAGCGCGGTCTCCCTGCCATCCTAGTTCCAGGCAATCCACACGGATGCTGAAGACCGGGGCTGTGCCAAAAGGGGCTTGCAGGGTCTGCAGCCCCTGAAAGCAGCTGCCTCTCTTCCCAGGATCACATGGCTTCCCTCAGCAGCTGCAGCGCAATCCTGGGAAAAGACCCATGGTCTCAGGGTGTCGCAGCCGGCTGATGCCCAAAGCCCCTTTTTGCCCTCAAATCTGAAGCCCTGGGCAGCCCCAGTAAACAGGTTCACCATCATCCACCATCCTCGCCGCCTCCCGCTCTCCCGCCACCCATGCTCCCTACGCCCTGCTGCCCCCAGGGCACCCCTGGCTGGTCACCCTTGGCCCCTGGCCCATCCGCGAGGCAGTGGCTCTTCCTGCTGAGGGAAGATGGGGGGGCTGTAAAAAGCTGCTGAGGAAATAACGTCTGAACCAAGATGCTGGGCAACGATCATATGCCATAACTGGGATGGGCAAGTCATCTGAATTCCTACTAGTACAAAAGAAATATCTGCAAATGTAGTTCTAGCCCACCTTGGTTTGAAGGGGGACATTCACAGAAGCATTTGACAATATGGGCATTTTGGTTCTTGGTTTCTCCTGAAAATAATTCACTATGGAGCTGGACTAGATATTCCCCAAACCCCGCCCAACCCTGACATATTACGGTCTGTCAGCTCCGGATTGCCTCTTGGCCACAGGCGACAATCGGAGAAAAACCAGACCTCCAGAAAAACCGTAAGCAACTGGCTTGTCCAGAACAGAGGATCGCTCAGCCCAAAGATCTCTCTAACTAATGGACGCCCAACTGTTCAGTGCCCCCCAATGCCCGCTGGCCTTGCAGCAACGCAGAGATTAGCTGGGCGGGGAGGCTTCGGGGGACGGGGCCCTGCGCCCTCCCTCACTTACTCAGCTCTTGGTAAACTGAAGCGGCTTCTCCAGCCAAGAACAACGGGGGTTTCCGCGGGGACCTAATCTCCATCGTCATGAATTCTTCACAACAGTGTTTCCACTGACCTGAAAGGAATCAGCAAGCAGGCAGAGTTCATATTCTCCACTTTTAAATATTAGAATTATACGCGGCCAACGCAACCAGGTTCAAAAATAGCACTTTCCCCCATAAAAACCGGTATCGCTATTTTTATAATTGCTCCAGATTGACAGGTAAACCCAACCTCAGTACCGTGATCATCTCTTGGGTAAGCATAACGTCTCTGAATTGACCACAGCCAAGCTAACCGGTATCTCCTATTTCCAAAACAGGATATGGGTAATTGTAGTGCATGTCCCAACCCCATCTTTACAATCTGACGCCTTCACAACTTTACACTCAGTTATTTCAGTCTGACGTAGTCATTTATTGTATTACTATTATTGCAACCAACTTCTTGTGAATGAGTAGTTTGACTGGTTTTGAGATTTTTCCATACGTCAGTCAACCAATTGATTATTGCTAGACTTTGACAGAAAGGAAAAAGCCAGCTTGGATGGGTTTCAAGAGCCACTTTCTGAGGCTGCGAAGAGACTGGCGTGGACAGCCACAGAAGGTCAGATTATGCCAGCTTCGAGAGATTCTGCTCTGACCGCCGAAGCGGGAGGAGGCCTTGGGCAAAGACTGCGCAAGGCCACCTGCCGGGCTGGGGCTTTCCTTCGCCCTCGCAGCGCAGGAAAAAGACGACGATCCACTTACTAAAATCAAAAAAGTGCTGCCAGAAAGCTTCCATCCACCTGCAAAGGTCTTCCCGGCTTTCCGCTGCAAAAACCTGAGCCGTGGCCTCGCCAGCCTCAGAGTTGATGACTGAGAAATTATTGGTCTTTTTCCCAGCCTCTGTATCCACAGGACGAATTCGGGTTCCCTAAATGTTGCATAAAAAACAGAGCAAAACCATCATGTTGCCATGCACATTTCCAGGCTCCCTCAACCTGGTTTCAGCCGAAACACACGCCCGCGCTTCCCCCTCTCGTCCTGCCTGTCAGCTCATTAACATGCAACTTCACTGTTACATACATTGTCCTGGTGGGAAAAATAGATACCCCAGGGACTGTCAGTCTATCAAAACCTGCAGAATATTCTTAAGAGTGCAGATTTTGAAAGAGACTTTACTGGAAGAGTTGTTTGAAAGGCAGGCAGCTGTTCGTAGCTTATCTGATGAATTTGCTCATTTAAACGTTTCATTCTAAAAATAGAAGATTGAGTAATGCATCCATAAATGCTGTGTCCTATTAATGCAGGTAACCATAGATACTAGCACAAAATTAAGTCAAGGAGTTTCATATTCAACAGGTTAGAACTCCAAGTGACAACAGTTCATTTAGCATTTGCTACATGTCTCGTGCCACAAATGCTTTTATGAAACAAAAGCTGTTCTCTGATGAAAACCAGTTTATTCTTCATTTGACTATTCAAGGGGCGGAAGATGCTAACTTCAGCAGTGATAGGCCAATCCTTCTGAAGCTGCAATACATTACGCAGCAGATGGAAAGTATCCAAGGAACTGCATATTAAGTATCCTACTTAAAAGATACTTCGGCAGCAGAATACAGATTTAAGGGAGCTGAAGGTGTGCCCGTCCGGCCGCCTGGCGGAAGCCTCTCTCCCACGTGGCCGGTGGGCTTCAGAGCCGGCTCTCCCACCGAACCAAGGCTTTTGCAAAAACCAGCATGGGGGAGCGGGGGACAGAGGCTGCCGCTTCCTGCTGGTGGGACGGGGCTCCCCTCGCTGCCACCTTCTGCCAGAAGAGAGAAGGCAACCCCTCTCTGTGGCCCAGGGAGGGGGCAGGGGGCCCACCGCCGGTCCCTCTGCTGCCAGGACAGGGGTTGGGCAGGGGGCCGGACACGCCTCTCAAGTCTGAAGCCCAAGAGCGGCTCTGACGGTCAGGGCTTCCTGTCCCGGGTCTGGGCAGCCCCGGCACTATTCGGTCAGTCCCCAGACACGGGGAGGGTGGACT